GTGACGTTTCCCAAGCCTCAGAAGAGCCACCAAAGGTGGCGATTTCATCCCCTCTGGCCCCCAGGGGAGGCAGGGTGAGTCTCCAAAGAGTCCTAGGGTGTGTTCCAGGACCCTTTGGAGACTCACCCTGCCTCCCCCGGGGGGGCAGAGGGGGCAAAATCGCCACTTTTGGGGGCTCTTTTGAGGCTTGGGAAGCTTCAGAAGAACCCCAAAAGGTGGTGATTTTGCCCCCTCTGGCCCCCGGGGGAGGCAGGGGGAATCTCCAAAGGGTCCTAGAACACACCCTAGGACCCTAGAACCCTAGGGTGTGTTCCATAAGATGGACCTCTCCATAAGGCTCACCAAATTTTAGGAGAAGAAAGCAGATTATTTTTTTCCTGTTCTCCTAAAAATTTGGTGCGTCTTATGGAAAGGTCCGTCTTATGGAGCGAAAAATACAATCAATCAATCAATCAATCAATCAATCAATCAATCAATCAATCAATCAATCAATCAATCAATACTCAAATTGCCCTTCTTAGCCACACTAGATGCTGTTCCAAGTCCTCCATACAGAGCACGTTACCATAGTCTTTCAAGACTGAAGACTGAATCTAGGAAATTCTGCATGCATTGGATATGCTCTGCCCCTGAGTGTTCTTCTAGAAATGACATTTGTATCACTGCTTGTCCAGGGTTCTACACTGAATGTACTGGAATTTTCCCCAATGCCCAAACAAGGTTCCTCCTATCTAGCTTCATGTTGGTTTATTCCACCACCAAGTTCCTGGATTTTTTTTTCATTCTGCCAAAACTCTTTGTTAATTTTTAGTTCCACTTTGTAAGGGAGTGGGGCAGAATTTATGACTTCTCAAGGCTTTCAACATTAGGATTTATGGAATGTCAGCATTTTTCATTAGAATTTCAGTACAGGGAACTTTACTGAACAATAGCAGGTGCTTGCACAACACTTGGGCTATCTGTCCAAGGTGCTGATTCTTTAACAAAAAATATAGCATGAAAAGGAGGAACCTTCAAACAGTGCAGACACTGTTAGCCTACATGCATCATTCCTAAGTACTGTGCATGCTGGCTCCGATGGGAGTTGCTATGTGCCATCAAGTTGCTGTGACGTACAGCAATCTTAACAGGATTTTTGAAGTATGCGAGGTGCAATCAGACAGGCATTTAGTCCACTGATTGGATTGCTGCAGGAAGTGGTTGTTTCACTCCTTTTGAAAGCAATCATACATAATTGCTGGAGCAACCCAAATCACCCTGCATTCCTATCTGCACCTTTCTGGCCCCTGACAAGGGCTTCTACATTTTTTGGTGCGGGTCTGATCACCGCTTCAGGATAGGTGCAAATTAATTACTTCCACAGCCAAATTGGGCAAGCTCTCAACCAGACCTCTAAAAGAAAAGCAAAAACAACAAAAAAAACCCACTTTCCATTAGTCTTTTATTTTTAAAAGTGGCATAGTATGTATTTGTTGCTCCAATAGGCACTTTACAATTTGTTTTCACTTCCTCCACCCCTCCACAGAGTTGAGTAAATAATTAATTTGCCAATATCCTGAAGTGGCTGCCTTATTAAGCTACTTCACAACATTGGGAAACAGGCAGTTAGGTGGCTGTGGGCCAAATAGAGCTATTTGAGGTCCCTCTGCCACTTGGATGCGAGGACTGCACTAGATGGCATATTGGACCTCCTACTGAGGTCTATTTACTCCAGCCCAGCCCACTCTTTTCAGGCTGTGTAGACAAGCCCCCCCCCAAGATGTTCAAGGAGTGTTTTATCTTTGCCACTCCCACATAATTTTCTGAATCTGAGTGGCGATTTGAATCTAGGTTTCCTGTGTCCCAGACCAAGCTTCTATCTACAATACCATCTGGCCTCTCATGGATGAGAATAGCATTCAATTAATATCAGAAAGATCAACAGCTCCCCATCCTTTATGGTCACAGAGATCTGTGTTGTCTTAACACTCTGCTACTTGTCCAATTCCATCCCCACTTGTCTAAAGGGGAAATAAAATTAGAACATGATACCACAGCTATTAAAATACAGTCCCTATGTCCAGAAACAAAAACCCAAAGATGTTCTCTCAAACAGCTGAGATCTTCACTCCGTTAAAAATCTGTGTGCGGCTAGGGGATAAATCATTATATTGCAGCCCAATCCATCACAGAGGATCTTCAGGCAAACAAAAGTATATGAGCTGAATATATGCATGTGAATTCCTTGGAGGAATAGAGAGCGAACATTAAACTGTCCAGGCAAGTTTTGATGTGCTAAATTTTATTATTCTTTCGTGGGCTTGAATAAATTGTTGTTAAACAGGTACGGATCTGGATGACACAGTAGGATGGGGGGGAAGAAAAACCCAGTTCCTAACAGAATAGGAGTAACAGGAATTATTTTAATTACAGTACAAGAGGCTATAAAGCGCCTCAAGCCACGCATGCGCAAACCCAACACCCTTCTCCTCGTCACCACGTGGACGGCGGTGGAGGCTCTTTTGTCTGGTCCGTTCCCTCACCTTAACTCTCGCCAGCCTGAGACCCGGCCTGGAAAGATGAGAGAGAGAGAGAGAGGGAAAAAATGACATTTTGAGCAACGTTTATTGGTTCTGAGCAGCCCTCGTGACACGAACTCGCGTGCCGATTGGTTCCTTGGAGGAGGGCCGCGTTTCACGTCGTCAGTAGGCCGGGTCGTTTGGCTTGCTGAGGGAGGGAGGAAAGAGATTTTTTGGGTGTGGGAGGAGGAGAGCTCGGGCGCTCATGCGGAGGCCAGGCGGCGGGATAGGGTGCTCTATGCCGGGTAAGTGGGCTTATGTGAAGGGCTGCTTCGTTCGGCCGCTCCGCTGGCCTTGGAGAGAGGTGTGGGGGGGAGACTCCCTTTCCTCGTGGGGAGGGCGAAGGCATGCCTTGCGGCGCCGGGTGTGTGTGAGTATGTGTGTGTGTGCGTTTCTCCACAGGACCTTAAGCGGCCATTAACCTCCTCTCCTCCTTTTTCTCCTCCCGCTCCGGCGATTTGGAGGAGAAGGGAGGGTCTGGCGCAGGCGGTTGGGGGTGAAGGAAGGAGCCACCGGCTTTAGCTGGTCAGCGGGAGGAGGAGGGATGGAGGGCATGAGATGACCCGGTGTGCAAACCTCCATGTGGAGGGGCAGTCTATCTCGGGGGAATAAAGAACAGGGTTAGGGCTGCTTGGCATGAACGCCTTGTTGGTGACCTTTCCTTTGTATGGGTATACTGTGTATATACTTACAATGACAATAAATAAATAAATAAAAATAGAGGCCTCAAGGCTGAATTAGATGGGGAGGGAAGGAGGGGGGCTTTTGGTCTCGAACCAGCCAGGCGGTGCTTGCGGAAAGGTGAGCGTGGCCAGGTTCTTCCGGAGAATTGTGTAGGAGAGGAATTCCAGCAGGTGCAGTTTTCTTCGCCCCCGCAGGACGAGGTGTGACCTGTCGCAAAGTGCTCCTTAGGTAGACTGGGGATAGCAGCTGGAGCCTTTGTGTCTGGTTGTCGAGCCCAATTCCTGAGCTGTTGGCACCATCCCGCCAAGGCAGTATTTATTTCTTGATTCATTCATTTATTTAAAATATTTATATCCTATCTCCTAAAAAGAATCCACGGCATCTCACAGTATTAAAAGAAACAGCGTTAAAAGCTAAAACAATGAATTATTACAATATTAAAAACAGATGAATAAATATAATATTAACTCTGGTAACTGTTTTAAAATAGCAACAATAATAACACAGCAGTCAGCACAAATTGACCAATGGGCAGGTCACAGCAGTAACTGATTTGCCGTCTTAACATCTTCAGGTTGGCAAGGACAGTCTAAATTGGGCTTGTTGATTTGCCCATCTTAACATCTTCACGTTGGCAAGGACAGTCTAAATTGGGCTTGTCTGGTGCCCAAACACCCATCACTCTGTGTATGGGTGTGTGCGTGTAGGTGCGCCCTATAAGAAGAGCATTCAAGGAAAACTACAATGGCTTGTTGAACTTCTGAGCAAGTTACAGGCGCTGTGTCACATTGAACCGAATAGGACATCTTAGCAAATGTATATGCATTGCACTGAAATAAACTTCAAGGATGCTACAGCGGTCTAAAATGTTCTGACTCTTTGTCCTTTGTTCTGCCCATAAACTGAATTTGGCTGGTGGGGGTGAAAGAGGCCCTTCCTTTGTGCTAGTCTTTTGGTGTAGTACTGTATACTCTTTGCTTGATTGCAAGACTTTCTTTCACTATCCATTTTTGACCTGGTGGTGGTTGTTTGCCTCTTTTTAAACACTAACAAGGTGAGTTTGATCTCTTAGAGCAGATTTGCTCTTGGTAACATAATGTTCAGCATATTGAGTTGTCCCAGAACATTTAGCCATAAACAAATAACCCATGTTTTATAGGAACTGAAAGTGCTTGTACATCTTGTTCCCTGGAATAAGCACATATTCCCAAAATGTTCTGTGTATTTTTGTATTTTGATCTAGCAAGGTTATTTAATTAAAATATTTTAGCCCACCTTTCTCCTTTAAAAGGACCCAAGGTGGCTTACAGCAATTAAAGTGCAATATTTACGTTAGTAACAATTATACAATATTATAAGGATCAAATTAATATAATACTAAAAAACATAAGCAACACCAAAACACATTCAGTGCAGTGAGCTACAACAATTCCTTTTGAAAACTGCACTCAACAGCCATGCACTCAGGGGAAGCTTGCCTGAAGAGTAAGGCATTTGCCCGTTTGTGGAAGGATAGTAAGCTGGGGTCCGTCTAGCCTTCTGTGGGAGGGAGTTCCAGAGTCTGGGAACAGCAACAGAAGGTCCTCTCCTGTGTCCCCACCCAACGGACCTGTGAAAACGTGCGTTTTAAAGAATTTTTAAGGCTCTGTGTATAGGTTTCCTTCCAGTCTGTTACAAAGACAGGACACCTAGGAGAGTGGTATTTCAGGGATGGATATTCCCACACAAGTGCCAAAAGTGTTCCTGTTTGTAACAGTCCTTCTATAAAACTTCTTACAATTCTACATGTATAGCTACTACTTAGCCAGTGTGGTATTGTGGATAGAGTGTTGTTCTGGATCTGAGTACACATCCACATCCGCTACCATGATCACTCCCTCCCCAGCCATGAAAACATACAAGGTGGCGGGGAGGGAGTGATCATGGTAGACCACTCCTTTAACATCTTGCACCCTCCTGAACACCCAATTAAGGTTGACATAACTTAGAAGCAACTTCATGACGCACAACAGAGCTACAACTCAGTACTTTGGAAGAAGTTATAGTATGGGTATATTCTAGTACTTTGAAAAAAATGTTCCTTTTCTGGATTTTTAAAGAGATCTAACATCATCAGAGGACATTTTTGCGTATTTTCCACCTAGTTTCTCTTCAGCACCTTTTAAATTCTAACTTTCTTCTGCACAGAGTTAGGTATCACTTATAATAATGACTGATTGATTGATTTAAAATATTTTTACCTTGCCTTTCTCCTTAAAAAAGACCCAAGGTGGCTTATATATGTTACTTGTCAGAGCATCTTTCTTTAATGTCATCTGCCCAAACCACAAGATCATCCCAGTCAAGGCTCCTATGGGTGGCCACCTCGAGAGAGGCCCATGAATCCTCTACAAGAGGTCGGGCCTTCTTCGTGGTGGAAGCAGCTTCCAGAGTTGTTCTGCCTAGCCCCCTCCCTGTGGACTTTTAGGAAGACATTGCTTTTGAGGGAGGCTTTCCACACCAACCCCAGCTGACTACCTCCCCCCCCGCTTTTTTTTTCCTTTCCCCTCTTTGTTCCTCCACCCCATCTGGAATCAGTCTGTGCTATCTGGTTGTTGTTTTTAAGGGTTATTCCTGTTGGCTTTAAATGTCTCTATTTTTATTTTTGTTTTCTTTTTTTACGTGTTTTAACCCACCCAGAGTAGTGCTGTGATACTAATGGAAGCGGGATACAAATTAAATAAATAAATATAAATAAATAAATAGTGTAAGATCCCATATTACTACTGGTGGCAATGACTTATAAAGCTCTTAAATCCTGGAGCTTTCATGCCTTGGTACTTCTGACTGTACCGTTCCCTTTATGCCCCTGTTACTAGCCCCTAAAATCAATAGATAAAAATCATCTGCCCACATATCGATGAGAATGTGTGTGTGTGTGTGTGTGTGTGTGTATTATTGAGATATATATATATGTACACTATTTGTCTGTGTCTCTCTGTGTGTGTGTGTACATATGTATGTATATGCACACACACACATATAGATATACACGTACATACACCCACATACACACACACACGTGTATGTATAAAAATTATTTGAGTTAGGAGTCTTTTTATCATTTATGTTTCTGATATATTTTGTTATATTAATAAAAAATTATGTTTTTAAAAAAGCATGGCTGGAATCCTAGTCAGGTTACTCCATGCTGCAACATCTTGACAGCAGTCCTACTTGTTATTATATGATAGTCAAATATCCTGAAGTATACAGTTCACTTTCTGTAAGATATTCAGTTTTATTTGCTGTTGAATCAACTGCAGAGTGGGATATTTAAGAGTTTTCTTAACTTCTTTTTTTTTAATCTCATTCTCTTCATACAGGACTTTGCTATGGCAAATAGGCCTTCTATGACTTTTTTCCTTTTACTTTCCAAATACTTACTTTGTGAACCTCGCCACCATGTGGAACCAGCCACTGTTTCGCAAACTGCAGAAACACTCATTCTTGAGAAGTCAGCCGGTATCAATGTTGATTTGGCCACAGTTATACAGAGACATCATCTTCAGGAACTTTTCTCTCGTTATGGCGAGAAGAATATGTTGACTGTTGAAGGATTCAGAAAACTGCTACGGAATATGGGCATTGAGAAGATTGAAAGAATCTCCCTAGACCATGAGCACCATCACCATCACCATAATCACATTACCCCAAGTACAAACTTGGACAAAACAGGTTGTCCTTCTGATGAATCTAGTGATGGGAAGAAAGATCTTTGGAATAATCAGGCAAAGGATTTGCCTAATATAGGGCACACTGGGCATCAGTCGGGGCCTGTGAATAGCAAGAGCACCACAGTAGCTATGACTGCCTCCACCTACACAATGGCCACAGAGGGTAACCCTCTGCTGCAGCATACAGAGACTACAGAATTGAAGTCCACACATGGAGGCTTTGCCAGCCCCAATCCCAGTATTGTGCTCGAAAACAGCAATGGGAGTTCGCTTGTAAATGGGAAAGCAAATGAATCGCTCATGTTCCCAAAGGACTCTGAAAGAGGAAGTTACATGTATTCTAAAATAAGAAAGCAAGTTACACAAGAGGTGCTTGGATTTTTTTTCTCTTTGTTTTAGAAAAGTTGTGGTCTTTGAAAGTTGTAATTTTGTTTACTCTAGGAGGAAACTTTATTTATTGTTGAATTTGGAGGTGGACACCTTGTGCCCCTTTCTGACATTGGATTATATAGCCAGTGTTAGGAATCTTGGGAGTTGCATTCTAAACAGTATGAAGAAGGCCACAAATAATTTGTTCTCACTTTCTGGTTGCACAATATAATGCATTCCCACTTCCATAGAAACATCATTGCTGAAATTGCAGAAAGGATTAAAAGGTGGGCAGAGACGTGCATGTAAGTGACAGACACCCCCATCTCAGCTGCATGCACTTAGAGCAGTGGTTCCTAGCCTTGTTTAACCCTGGTGTTCTTGGACTGCAATTCCTAGAAGCCTTCACCAACTGTGATGGCCAAGGTTTCTGCGGGTTGCAGTCTAAGAACACCTCAGATACCCAAGGTTGGTAGCCACTGGATTAGAGAGTTGCTTATCAGCATTCCTTATCATGGACAGACATACATAAAGTCTCTGCTTTAGACCTTTATTGTCTTCACATGAAGGGCTGAGTGTCTTCAGGGTGGGAAGGAAGGGCACATGGGGATAGGGCTTATATGTGCATCCCTGTCATTATCCCCTTGGCCCTCTTCATGGTTTCATGCATGATGTCTTAACTGAGTTTATGTTGGGTTTGGTTCAGATGTTCTTATATGGAAGAGTCATTCCTGGCACTTCATGTTGGTATTTTAATTTCCATAGATTTGTATAATTTAGAGCTTGTGATGGGGTATTAGATTTCTTAGCTCTGTGGGTGAATCATATTTATGTATTATGACTTCACACACAATTAATTTATTTCTATGAGCTGCCTGATAGCTATAAAATATGAATGCAAGCCCATTATTCCTAAATAGGTTCTTAGTCTTTGGCTAAAATCCTGTTGTACAATTATGCAAAGAGCATAACATTTGGAAGCAAATTGCTATAAGTTAAGTCTCCATAGACATTATCTGTTGCACACTGAATTGCATGACTTGATGTGCAGCATATAATGCTTATGGAAATTTCTGAAGTTATGGCAATTTTCATCTAAAAGTTGTGCTGCTTATATTATGCACAAGAGAATTTCAGTTTTTTTCTTAGTTCTTTTTTCATACTCTCTTCGCTCCATTTGTTTTCTCTGAATTTTTGTGCTTTCTTTCAATATAAATAAAACCAGATATAAGCATCTTGTGGTGCAGTGGTTAAACTGCTGTACTGCAGCCAAAACTATGCTCATGACCCGGGTTCAATCCCAGGTAGCCGGCTCAAGGTTGAGTCTGCCTTCTCTCCTTCCGAGGTCAGTAAAATGAATACCCAACTGGCTGGGGGGGGGCAATGTGAAGCTTGCATAATTAACTTGTAAACCGCCCAGAGAGTGCTTGAAATACCGTGGGACGGTATATAAGCAGCACGCTTTGCTTTGCTTTATAATCTGGCCTGAAATGGAGCCTGAATTTCATACAAACATGATCACATTCAATACTTTATCAAGATGTGTGTACTTTAGGACCATTATTATAGCAAAACAGGAAACACACCTTGAGATCATTTTTTAAAAAGCATAATTTATAGTACTTCCCAACCCTCGGTCCCCAGGTGTTCTAGGACTACAACTCCCAGAAATCCTGGTCAGCCCAGCTAGTAAGGAAGGGTTCTGGAAGTTTTAGTCCAACCCATGCTTGGAAACCAGCAGCTTGATGGGTCAGATACTGCATTGTTGCCAGTCAGTCAAGAAATTGAAAACAAAGATTGGAATCCTGTTGTGCAAGTTATGCCATGTAACTTGGATGATATTGGCCATGATCATGCCACAGTTGTTTTGGGGAAATTAAAAGCTTCCTGTTTCTGACAATTTCCAAGAATCCCTAGGGATCCTCTGCATCCAGAGGAAACCTTTGGGACTGGTAGAATGGCATAAGGAACAATTTAAAGTCTAAAAATCACTGCTGTCAGTGGAACTGGGGGGCCCACCCGCAATTTTAGATCTTTAAATCTTTCCCTACCCTGTTCTGCAGCTCTGGAAGGCTTTCCCTCAGAATGATGGAGATCTATAGGGATTAGAGATGAATGGTTCAGAGCAGCTTTTGGGTTACAGTGGTTACTCGGGTAGAACAGAAAGGTGTCTGGTTTAGCTGTACTAACAGCCTCACAAATAAGTCAGCAAAACTTATTAGTCATCAAAATATTTCTAGCACATAGTAACAGTGTTAGTACTGTAATTGGCATATTGACTATAAAGGCAGCAGGGATCTAATTCTGTTCCAATTTGCAAAATATTATCTCCTTATTGTGTAGTGATACTTTATTGGTTCGAGCCATATTTGAAATTTGCAATGATGTTAACTTAATTCATTTTTTAAAGGTTGAGTGAACATACCTATAAAATTGTTCTTCAAGGATCAAGTTGTCTGCTAGATTGATTTATATTTAAAATGCTATTAGATTATCCAAACTTCTATTAAAAACCACTTTTGCCTCATAGATATTTATAGGCCAGGATCCTGTTGGGCAATGTCTGCCTGCACAACAGGAATGATGTCATTTACAGTGGCCTATTGCTGCTGGTTAAAGGCTTCTTGTGATTTCTGAATAGACATGGCTTTGTCACATTATATGGCAACAGTATGCCCCTGAAATCACAGAAAGAAGCCTTTAATCGGCAGCCATGTGCCACATCTGATGATACCATTCCAATCTGGGTAGTGTGGGTGGCGTATAAGTTTAAATAAATAAATAAAATAAATTGTACAGGCAAAGCCACACAAGAGAATTTTAACTATACATTCATTTGTGAGTGGCAGAAACATACTGTATATATTGTCAAATAATTTGGTTCATTGTTGCACACAGAACAAAAGTGACCTTGCATTTTGCCTCCTTTGTTTCCTGCTGATCTGCTGTGTAAGAAAACACTTGAAGCTTATCAGTTACTCGAGAAAAGAGCTGTAGTTTGAATTTAGATCTCGTAATGTTTATTACTATTCTGCACTATGTTTATACTTTTCTGCACTATTCTTTTCTACAGTGCTTTAATGCATCAAAACTTATGGTTTCTCATGGAATAAGTACACACGCTCTGTTGACAGTCACACAATTCAGTTATCTTTGTCCAGCTATCGTTAACCAGATTGATGGCAGATACTGTTTACTTCATGCAACAACTGAAAAGGCAGAAACTCCTCCAAAAACATACTCCTTGCAAGTCGGTAGGTTTCTTGATGAAGTCACGATTTCTACATTAATACCATATTAACCCACTTTTAAAAGATGTATTAAAAGTGAAATAAAATACTGAGTAGGAATTCATGTTGGATATTTCTATTAAAGTTTTGGCAGATGTATCCAAATGACACGAAACATCAAATGCTGCTCAGAGACTTATAAAGAGTCTTCTCATTTACTGCATACAGTACAGAATTCTTGTGCTGTTTGCTTAAGTGCGGAAAAACAGTCCTCAGATATTTCTGTGACAAGTGGTGTTACGCCACAGTTTTTTTTCAAGAATTATGTGGCCGGGACAGATCTGTTATTCAAGAAAGCAATATCTGTAACATTTTTTTGATTTCTCGATTTCAGCTTGGATTGGTGGATTTATATCCATTTCCATCATCAGTTTTCTTTCATTACTGGGAGTAATACTGGTGCCTCTTATGAACCGTGTATTCTTCAAATTCTTGTTAAGTTTCCTTGTTGCATTAGCAGTTGGCACCCTAAGTGGAGATGCTCTTCTCCATCTCCTTCCACATGTAAGTATTCTCTTTTTACTTGTATTAATTGGGCATGTAGCAGTTGAGGCACAATACTACCATGACTTTGATGTTTTAAAAAGCCTATAAATACAGAAAGGAAATATCTGTAAGAAAACAAAGGATTTAATGTAATGAGTTTGTTTTCTACCTCAGGCCTCCTTTTTATTTTATGTGTGTGGGGTTTTTTTTTTACACTCTTAAGTAAGTAGATTTGATATTATGTGAATACACTGAATATGCACATTCAAAATGCAAATAGCTGTAGCAGTGTAGGATCAAGCAGTGACAAGACTGTGGGGAGAAAAAGTTTATTCATTTTCTCCTCAAACCCACCCCCATGTGCAGTAGAGGTGAAAACCTACAATTCATGCCCAATATAAATAGTACCTTGAAGAGAGGGCTCGTCAGGACTATAACGAATGTGGGAAAATAATTAAATTTTCTGACATCCTCTATGCTCCTGATAGTATTCTGTCAGTGTGGTGCATTTATTTATTTAAAATATTTTTACCTCGCCCTTCTCAAGGGGACCCAGGGCAACTTACCGTATTTGCCGGTGTATAAGACGACTGGGCGTATAAGACAACCCCCCAACATTTCCACTCAAAATATAGAGGCTCTGCTGCGGTGCCGCCGCCGGCTGCCCGGGGCTCTGCCTGGACCCGCCCTGGAAGTTCATGGCCGGTGACGAGGCCCAAGGAGGGCGAGGAGGAGGGGAAGCGGGCGGGCAGAGGAGGAGGAGGGGAAGTGGCTCTCCGGCAGCGGGAGGGCAAGCAGGCAGCTGGCTCAGTGGCGCGGGCAGCCCAGCGGCGGGCTCTGGCCGCTCAGGCATGGCCAGCTCTGCTTCCCTCCCTCCATCCGGACCGATCGCCTGCCTGCCCCCGTTCCATCCTCCCCCCCCCCCAACTTGGAGGCATGTTTTTCAGGGCAAATAAGTCATCTTATACACCGGCAAATACGGTACATAATTACAAATATAATATTTAATGGTGTGGTAGTATGTTGGTCTGGACCTGGTCAATTCATGTTTTACTCCTTGCTGAGCTGTGAAACTCACTGGGTAACTTTGGGCTAAACATTCAAGGCATTAAGTGTGATTCTCCTCTCCATTTTATCTCACAAAAAAACCTTGTAAGGTAGGTCAAGATAAAGAGATTTACTGGCTCAACATATCCCTGTGTGTTTCATGGTTCAGTGAGGATTAAATCTTCAATTGATCAGGTCCCAGGCACACATGCCACCTACTAGGAACCTAAGAGCCTTGCCGGATCAGACTAAGAAACTTGTCTAGTTCAATATCTTGTTTTCCATAGTGGCTGACCACATGGCTCTGGGTAGTTCACAAACTGGTATCACGACAATGGCCCCGTCCTGCTGCTCCCTGTCGCTGGCATTCAGAGCCATTTGGTCTGTGATGCTGGAAGTAGCATTAAGCTTTCAAGCACAGTAGTTGTCGATAGCCTTTTCAAGGAATTAATTGAATCCCCCTTTAAAGCAATCCAAATCATTGACCATCATTACATTTTGTAGTAGCGAACTCCATAACATACCCTGTGCTTCCTTTTGTCTAATCTGAATCTCCCACCATTTAGCTTCCTTTGATTAATCTTGATTCTAGAACTGAGGGGTAGAAAGTTTGTTTCCCAACCAATGTCTCTCCAACCATTTCTTCCACACCATGCCTCACCTCTTGTTCTGCTGATATTCTGACTTTTTAGCCATTTCTTTTAAACTTTTGGCTAATCCATTATAGTTGGAGATGAGCCTCTTTGTGTTTTCTATGGGTGACTACCAGATAAACAAACCAAATTTAGAATTGCAGTCTTAATCTTAAGTGTAGCCAACTTAATTAAGACTCATTTAAAAATTGCTTTGATAGATAATACTAGTGTTGGGCTTTTCAAGATATAACTCTCAGACTTAACCAAGTATTCTCTCAGACTGAGAGACAAATGGGGTTGATAAACTACAATCTCTCTCTGCACTTATTTTTTCTTGTCTTGGGAAGGTATTTGAATTGCTTTTTCCCCCCTTTTTAGTCTCATGGAAGACATTATCATCATCATGAGAAACCAGTGGTGGAACACAGTAAAAATCCTCCTTTTAAGGACCTTGTTTTTCAAAGTTCAGAAGAAAGCGCATATTTGGATTCTACGTGGAAGGGCCTTACAGCACTTGGAGGACTATATTTTATGTTTCTCGTTGAGCACTTGATCACTTTAATCAAGCAGTTTAAAGGCAAGAAAAAAAAGGTAAGGAAATAATACTTGAATGAGTGGCTTTAATTTTTTTCTGTATCTTAATTTATTTATTTATTTATTTATTTATTGGACTTATATCCCGCCCCATAGCGCTACAAGCACTCTCCGGGCGGTTTACAATTTTCAATTATACAGGCTACACATTGCCCCCCCAGCAAGCTGGGTACTCATTTTACCGACCTCGGAAGGATGGAAGGCTGAGTCAACCTTGAGCCGGCTACCTGGGATTTGAACCCCAGGTCGTGAGCACAGTTTTAGCTGCAGTACAGCGTTGTAACCACTTTCAAGGGACAGCTTTCCTGGAGCTCAAACAATGCATAAACTATACAAGCTCCTGCCAGCCATGCATACTTGTCCCGCTTCCAGGCCTGCCTCATTTGTAATGGACTAGTGCCTATATGGGGAGAGCCAATACTTTCATAGCCATTCTGCCTCCAGTAATTGTATTCTGGCAACCAGAGGTAAGTATCTTTCTATCAGCCTTATTTTTTACAGGAAATATAAACTTTTTCTTCATATCCTTCCATTGAAATCCGTCAGACTTAAAGTAATTATTCCAGTTAAAGGGAATGGTTTTTTATTGGGTAGTAATCTCTGTTACAATCAGAAACTTTCTTTGTGGAGTAAATTATCAACTTGGATGCATTACATTGAAGTATGAGAGAATGGTTGTAAGAAGTTTTTGTTAAACATCTCAAGGATTTGGAACAAATTATGAATTGAAATTTTTGTACTGTGACATAATTCATGTAGACTTAAATTGTGACCAGAGCTGAACTGTATTCTATTAATTTGAGATTTCCCTTAGGTATTTCAGGGCTTTCTAAACGTGTGGTTTATTCCTCATTGTTTATTGATAAATTCTTTTTTCCTGTGAGTTAAGTGGTTAAAATGTCAATAACTTCAATTTTTTTTTTCCGGAATTAGAAAAAGAATGAAGATGAAGCTGAAATCAAGAAGCAGCTGTCTAATTATGACTCTCAACTTTCAGCCAATGAAGAAAAAATAGATGCAGATGACAGTAAGTGTCAGGAAACATTGGACAGCAGGGCCAGTCAAAATGTTCTAAGTTATTCTTTTGGTCTCTTTGCCATAGCACACAGTGGATCTGTGCTTGCACAGAGCAGCACAAATGGAGAGTTATAGAGCTTTTTAAAAAAGTAGGAACTGGTTTGTTTGTTTGTTTGTTTATATCCTGCCATTCTCCTTCAAAAGGACTCAAGGCAGCTTAGATCATTGAAATACAATATTAAAGCTAAAAACAATAAATATACAAATAATAAAAAGGAACAGATACCACCCTGAAAAATGGTAAAAAACCCAGTCAAAGGAGTAATGCATAATCATCTAAAAATCACGCTCAGATAGCCAGTTACTGGGAGAGCTTGCCTGAAGAGTAAGGTTTTTTGCCTGCTTGCAGAAGAAGGACAGCAAAGATGGGGAGTTCCAATGTCTGGGAGCAGCAGCAACAGAGAAGGCCCTCTCCTGTGTCCTCATCAGATGCACATGTAAAGATGGAGGGACTGAGAGAAAGGCCTGTTTGTCAAGAGGGAACTGCTTGCTCTAGGCACATCTGTTTAAAAGGTGCTAAGGATACATGACTTCCTCTTCACATCTAAACAGCATTGTGGAGAACATTTCTCTCACTTCTCATTTTTGGGGGGCTTTCTGTTTAGATATAGGTAACTGTCTTGTTTTAGAAATGAAACTATAGTGTTTTTCTTGTCACATTTGTGAGAGAAGGTTTTGACATAGTGTGTCTAGTATCAGCTACCTACTGTATGATTGTTAATTCTATTATTTTAGCTGAAGTGAAATATTCTTGCTGTTCCAGAGTTGAAATAAAAACAGTTGGAGCTGAAACAGTTTTGCCCCTCTACAAGTTTTTGCCTTTGTAATTTAAAAAAAGTTCAAGCACTTCCTCAAATGTAAGAACACTGAACAACATTTGAAATTATTACTAACATAAATACACCAACAGTCAAAGAAAAGCAGAGGAAGGGAAGGAAAAGGGTGCTAGAGAAGGAGCTATTCTGTAAATTAGGTTACACAAAAGAGATAATCATGCCATTAGGTGAAGTATACCTGCCAGTGAGCCCAAACAACATCAGTAAAATTCCTTGGTTCAGATCCGAGGTAAGGGGGATGCATATGTAGGATGATTAACTTTTTTGAAATAGTGAAGACATCACTGAAAGTGAATTATCTCTCAGTCTGTTTTCATGAAGAGGATAGGCATTGGTTTTTCCAATGCTCTATTGTAAAAGCCCAAAGGAGTCACTTCTGGCAACCGTCTGGCTCGCAGTGCAGATATATAGTTAGAATTGATGCACATCTTTAAGTTCAGTATTGAATTTGGATTGATCTTCTAATGAGGTCACCGAAGTGTTCTTTGCCACTGCAGCTGCCACTTCCCTCCCCCTCCCAAACTTGCTGGAGCAATGAGGAGGCCTCTGTTAGTCCTTGATATCTGGAATAGCAAGGTCTCTTGGGGGCAGGGGACTTGCAGCTTTCTGTAATGCCTCAGCACATAATAGGAATAATGGGCCTCTGCAATGACATGAGCATCTTAAAAAGCAGAGATAACACCTTGCCGACAAAGGCCCGCATGGTCAAAGCTATGGTTTTTCCAGTAGCGATGTATGGAAGTGAGCTGGACCATAAAGAAGGCTGACTGCCTAAGAATTGATGCTTTTGAATTGTGGTGCTGGAGGAGACTCTTGAGAGTCCCCTGGACTGCAAAGAGAACAAACCTATCCATTCTGAAAGAAATCAACCCTGAGTGCTCACTGGAAGGACAGATCCTGAAACTGAGGCTCCAATACTTTGGCCATCTCAAGAAAAGACTCCCTGGAAAAGACCCTGATGTTGGGAAAGTGTGAGGGCAAGAGGAGAAGGGGACGACAGAGGACGAGATGGTTGGACAGTGTCATTGAAGCTACCAACATGAATTTGACCAAACTCCGGGAGGCAGTGGAAGACAGGAGGACCTGGCGTGCTCTGGTCCATGGGGTCATGAAGAGTCGGACACGACTTAATGACTAAACAACAACAACAAGCAATGACATGGCCCAAGCACCTGGGATTCTGTCATTTCATTGTTCTGGATGCTTAGATGTAATGACAACTACAGTGGTGCCTTGCTTAACGAGGATAATCCATTCCAGCGAAATCGCTGTAGAACGAAATCCTCGTTAAGCGAAATAAAAAAGCCCATTGAAATGCATTGAAAAGCCTTCAATGCATTCCAGTGGAGTGAAACCGTCCAGCGAAGATCCTACATAGGGGCAGCCATTTTTGCTGCCTGTAAAGTGAGGAATCCGTCCTAGAAAACAGTGGGGGCCATTTTGTACACTCGGTGGCCATTTTGAAACCCGACGATCAGCTGTTTTAGATCGTCGTAATGCAAAAATCGGTTCCCAAGGCAGGGAACCGATTATCGTGAAGCGGATTTTTCCCATTTAAACCATCCTTTTGCAATCGTAAAAACCTAATCGTCAAGCGATTTCCTTCTTGAGCAAGGCAATCGTTAAGCGAGGCACCACTGTATATGTCCTTCAGTTAAGGGTGGGGACAGAGATGGGTGCCTAGCATCTGTGTAGCATTTTTTAAAATAACTTCAATTTGTTCAAAGTGCATTGCATGAATGTCTTGTTGGAAGAATTGCAGGGTAGATCTTACTGTAATTTTAGGTTGACAGATAGAGGTTATAAGGTTGTGACAGAGTAGAGAGTTGAATAGAAGACATTTCCATTTCACTGTTGAGTTCATTTCTTTATCCACCACACCATAACTGCTCTTCATTAGAGCTGCATAGAATTTTATTTACAACTACATTGGTTTAGGATATTTGCTTACAGAATAATGGTGTTTAATTTCTCTTATGATTAGATATGTTGAACAGATTTCTAACTGCTAGCCAGATTTCAATAAATGTTCATATCACTACTGCTATGGACAGATTCCTCTTAACTGATTGTTATACTTCTTTCTTGTTAGTCTAACGCAGAAAAATAATGGGTAAATATTCCTTGCGTTTGAAAAAACTGTTACTAGATAATATTGAATGCAGTTAGATCAGCTCGGTTAAGAAGAAGGAATTACAGCATTTCTATGTACTCTTGATTACTTTTATCTAGAATTGCTGCCCTGCTTCTGAATTCCAAATTTTTAGCATTATTTAGAATTTAATTTAATCATACATTTATATTAAAAGCATAGGTCTTAAAAAGGGTAAATCAGATTGATTTAAACTTAGCAACTAAGTATTTTGCATGGTATTCTTAGAAAATGCTCAGTTATAGTCATATTGACTGGAAGTTGAAAGCATGCTGTTAACATATTAGTGACTAGAGCCTGGATTAATGCATGTCTATTCATAATATCTGTTAAAAGTAACTCCTGGTAAATAGTTTAGGACTGCAGTCTTTTTTGTACTGTTTGGCTAAGTTACGTGTTTGCCCAAATTTGAAACGCACAATAAGCCCACAGTTCACACTGATAATAGTAGAATCAATGAGCATTTATAACGTTATTGAAATAATAAATGAGTCTTCCATTTCGAGCTTGTGGCGTTTGTATGTAGTTTTCATCAGTCTCTAATACAACTATTGAAGGTTTTTGTTATGTGTAAAGACTAAACATTAGGGGCATAACAGTATGTGAAATCAATTTAAAGTAAACTCATTTTGATCTTGAGATTAAGGATTGTATACAGATGTCTTATCCTTTTCAATTATATGATGAAAATTATTCAGAAAATAATAGTTATTAACATGATAGTGATTGCTAGGACAAATTTTACAAGAAATGTTGATAAAAGCCAGTCTCATAGGTCATTTAGTTAAAGAACTTCTAGGGGACTGAAGAAAGTAGAAATCCATGGACTTGACATAAGTATCCTGTAAATAAAGGTAAAAGGATACGTGTTACATTTATATTTTACATTTTCTGCAAGGAACTATTTTTATCCTTGCAGCAAACCTTACATTGGTTAGGCTGCGTCATTCAGTGAGTTTTATGGCTGAGTAGGTATTTGAACCGCCCCAGTCTTGAACTGACACTCTAGCCACTACATCACTCTGTGCTTTGTCTCTCAAGTAGAGGGTTTGTCTTTTTGCCTTCCTTATCATATTTTAAAGCTTCCTAAGAATGTTGTAATTGATGCTTCTGTCCTTTTTCTACTCCAGAATGATGTCATTTTTTTTACTAAGACAAGGGTTAGTCTAAACATGTGGATGAAAATGTTAAGGGCTTTGCTAGTATTTCCTTGGTGCTAGAAGCCACTTGTGCTATATTAAGGCTACATTGGACAACAGAGATAGCAGGTCAGAAAATTTACATTGTGGTGGAAATGAATGGCTTTTGTTGAATAGAATTTCAGCACTGGAATTTCCTACAACCAGTTCATCTTGTTTGGCCATCTAGTCATTTTGTGCAACTTTCCTGTTTGCATGTTAGTCGTTGCATGTTACATGTATGATGAGTTGCCTTCTGTTCTTATTTCTGATATTCTCGTCTGAGATGCTCTGGAACTGAGACGTAACCATTGCTAACATGAGCAGTATGAGTATGCATTGTCAAAATGTCTCTTATCTGATAGTGTTTAGCTGACAATGTGAATGATACTTTATTTTCCAAGAACTGTATCTTATCAGTGTGAAGTGATTTCATAATGTATTTTATACTAACCCGTGATCCACTTTCTCAAATCATACTGAAAATTACTTTCTCTGCTCTAAAAGCAGGAAAGGAGTACAGCTTACTGCAAATGTTATGCTGGTGCTTCTTTAGGCATGATCAATTTCTGGAATTAGCTATTAAAGTTTCTTCTAATTTACCTTGATATTTGGAGTTCAGTGTTCAGATGCTGACACTGAACAAATTTATGTTGATATATATTTTTGTAGCTTTAAATTTTCTAATAAAAGGAGAACCTCTTTTCACTCAACTAATATTGTATAACAAGATTGCAGCATTCCTAGATCTATCCACCAGGTCATGCAGAACCGCATGTATTTATTATGAACCATAAGTTGTTGGTATAGAATGGGACTAGTCAGCATCAGTCTACAGTGTTGTTCTTCACCCCATTACCAGTGCTGCAGAGGGTGTCATTATGTTTAGTATTCTTGAATGGGTGATACAGAAGCAGAAAGCATCTTGGCTTCACTTGATGTCCTTGCATCATTCTCTGTTCAAAGCATGTGCACAAGCTGCCTGGACCAGAGGAGAGTACAGTGAGAAGCAGGGTGGATTTCATTTAAGTCAAATTTATTTAAATCACATTTAAATTATGATTTGAATTTTTTAAAATCTGATTTTTTATGATTTAAATGTTAAAAATATATTTTTAAACTTAAATCATTGTAGAAATTGATTTTTTTAATTAAAAATCATTGATTTTTTTTATCCATCCTGTTGAGAAGACAGTTTTTCTTCCTGTTGCTCCCACATGGACAAGCAGACAAAGTAACTCTGAATGCTTTTCATATCTTGTTTGCTAAGCTGGTCTAGCCAACAAGCAGTTTGGCTGATGAAAAGTCAGGCAGCCATCCTTACAAACTTAGGAAGAGGACAGTTACTGCTGAAGAATGAAGCCTTACTTCGGCAAATTTCTGTAGAAACTGAGATGGAGGACGGAGGCGGCAAAACTGAGACTCTCTTGTATTGTTCCTGACCGAATGGATTTTGATTCCAATTTCACCGCTGGTGTTTATCACAGTGGCTTATTGTTACTTAAGTGATTAACAGTTCATTAGCAACATCCCCCACTTCACCACTAGGGGTTCCCAGAACCATACAGTAATTTCACATTTGGTTTTCTGTTTTCTTTATTGAACAGTTTCTTACCTTGTGAGCTTTATGCTTCAGAAAAAACATTTTCACCTGCAACTTCTTTCTCGTGATGTTTGTGTTCTCTCTCTCTCTCTCTTTTTCCTAGTCCAGTCTTGCCAATTTTGTCATGCTCAGATATATCAGCTTTTATATTTTTCTAAATCTTCATTTTGGTAGCCCCAAAGAGCTAGATACAGTTTAGCTGTTGTATCTGTTTCCTTGAGCTCTGGTGTGGCTTCACAAAAAGCACAAAGAAGTTGTTCTCTTAATTAAGATCTGAGAGTTTTATGCTAAAACGTATTGACAAAAGCATTGCAAGTGGCCAGGATTTCATCTCCTGTCACAGCATAACCCAGTTCATACTTGTAAGCAGGCTAATGATTTTCTTAATTTTACATACACTGCTGTATGCACAATCTGTATAGAGACACTGCTGAGACCATTTATGGATTCAGCGCACAGGGCCTGAAAGTGAGGTTGGTGGTTGTATTGGTGCTCCTTCTAGCTGCCAAAAATGACTGCTGATAGCCTACTTCTTAGATTTCTTGGTAGAGTTCTAAATGGAAGGCATTATAGGGTAGAAATTTTTCAAAGAGCTAGCTGTGTTAATATTAAAAAGGAGTTGTGGCCATTTTAAAAAAAATTTAATGTGAGGTTTTGTGGTTTAGAGCGTGGATTATCTGCTTGACAAGTTCAGCAAGCTATGGTTTGAGGAAGTAAATTATAATCCATGAAAGGTCATGCCAGAATAAACCTGTTAGTCTTGAAGGTAACACAAAAGTCCTTTTTAAGTCTTTGTTTTTTGTCTGGGGAAAATATTGTGGGTTTTGTGTATAAATTGACCCCAGGAACATAGGTCAGAAACAAATGTTTTATGAGGTACACTGTCTGCCTTCCATTGAGATCTGTGGAGCATCTGGGATTTCTAAGAATAAATTATTACGATACTGAAGATACAAACATGTAAAACAGATTAATGTTCCTGACAATCTATCCTTTGTTTCACATTGAGAACTTACCAACGATTTGCTTTTCCTTCATTTTCCCAAGGGCCTGAAGCTTACCTGGAAGCACATTCACCAGACCCATCAAATTTCATCTCTCAAAAGCCAGTAGCTCAAGAAGAAGAAGAAGTAATGATAGCTCATTCCCACCAAGAAGCTACAGATAATGAATATCCATCCAGAGGGTGTCGAAACAAATGCCATTCACATTTACATGATACTCTAGGACAGTCAGATCATCTGAGCCATCATCACCATGACTACCACCATATTTTACATCATCATCACCATCAGAACCACCACCCACATAGCCATAGCCAGCGTTACTCACGTGAAGAACTGAAAGATGCTGGTATTGCTACTCTGGCCTGGATGGTAATCATGGGTGATGGACTACACAACTTCAGTGATGGCCTTGCAATCGGTTAGTGTGTTGTCTTGTTTTTTCCTTCTAAGTCTACTTCATGTTTTGTGTGGCTGATCCAACTCCCAATTTTTCTCAGTCATGTCCCCTTCACTGTTTCTTTGTTGAGCTCATTGACATATAGTTTGACCAAAAAATATTATGCTCTTGTTCAAACCACAGGTATAAAATACATATAGACTATATGTAGGTATAATTGCATTTTCTAAATAAGATTCTCAGTAATGTTCTTTCACTTCTCTCCTAGGGGCTGCTTTTACTGAAGGTTTATCTAGTGGCTTAAGCACTTCTGTTGCAGTCTTTTGCCATGAGTTGCCACATGAATTGGGTAAGGCAGACATGTTTTAGTGAATATCAAGAATTTTTCCCCTGCTTCAGCTGTAGTAATGATACTGCAAGGGAAGTAGCAATTTGGGGATTTCATTGCTTTAGTTACAGTTTTGGTGACTAACAGTAATTTCTTGTTCGCATTGCTTTAGTGGATCAGATTTAAGGCTTATGTAGTCCAATATCCTCTCCTCTCCTCATGGGAGTAGCAGAATACATAATAAAAATTCCAAAAGCATGACTTGAGGTCATTGGACCTGTTTCCTTCATCAGCTGATATTCAGAAATGTTCTGATGCTGGAAGTGATATGTAGTCTAATAGCTTACTAATAGCGGTTGGATAGCTTTTGTTTACTATGAACTTGTTGGATCCAGTTTTCAAGCTATTGATGTTGGGGGAGAATCCATTCCTTTCTTTTGTCTTTAATCTCTTACATAGCATTTCAAGACTCTGGTTTCTACCCTCTTTCCCCGAAAATAAGACCTAACCTGAAAATAAGCCCTAGTCTGAATTTTCAGGATACTCGTAATATAAGCCCTACCCCCAGAATAAGCCTCAGTTAAGTGAAACTCTGCCCTCCACCATTGTTCAGCAACCAAAAGAAGATGACATGACTGTATTTGAATAAATGTAGATTGTTGTACATGAAAAAATAAAACATCCCCTGAAAATAAGCCCTAATGTCTTTTTGGAGCAAAAATTAATATAAGACCCTGTCTTATTTTCGGGGAAACACGGTAGTATTAGAAGAAGGAAGAATCTATCCACTTTCTCCATGCATAATTTCATATACAGTACTTACGTTATATCCCTCCCTCTCAGTTGCCTTTTTTTCTAAACTGAAAATCCCCAAACTTTGCAACTTCTCCTAAGGGAATTTTTTTTTATCATTTTGGTTTCCCCTTTTTGCACTTCCCTCTCGTTTTTCATTCAACTCTTTATGAGATATCCATCATCCCTATCTTGGACTGTTACTGCCAGCTCAGACCCACATTAGTGTGTACAGTGGTGCCCCGCATAGCAAGGTTAATCCGTTCCGGATTAACCGCTGTGTGGAAACATCGCTAAACGGAACGGGGAAACCCATTCAAAATGGGCACAAAACTCACCGTTCAGCGATGTTCCCCCATAGCGGCACCCATTTTCGCGCCCTCGGTAAGCGAGGGCAGGGCGTGAAAATGCTGCGTGCGGCCATTTTGGGTCGTCCAGCGACCATTTTGGAACCGCCGATCAGCTGTTCCCCCGACGTCGCAATGCGAAGATCGGTAAGTGAAACACTTACTGATCTTCGCAATGCGAGTTTTGCCCATTGTGACCGTCGGTATGCCTTCGCATTAGCGATCCCAAAAAACGGATTGCTATGCGAATTCATCGTTATACGGTGCGCTCGTTAAGCGAGGCACCACTGTATATATGAAGTTAGGATGTTTTTTCTCAGTGTGCATTAGTTTATACTTACCTGCATTGAACTGCTTGTGCCATATTAATAGAAATTTGTAAAACTTATTGCTTGCTTTTAAAATCCTTCAGTAGTTTTGAAAATCCAAATTTTTAAGAAAGGCTCAAAATATATATTGAAGCACCTTAGGAGTCAAGGGAAATCAAGGGATATTTTGGAATTTCAGTTGGCAGCCAGCTGCTCATATGAAATTGTGCATGTCTTTCTTTGTTGAAGGAGATTTTGCTGTGCTTCTGAAAGCTGGCATGACAGTCAAACAAGCCGTTCTTTATAATGCCCTCTCAGCCATGCTGGCATACCTTGGAATGGCTACTGGGATACTCATTGGCCACTATGCTGACAATGTTTCCATGTGGATCTTTGCGCTTACTGCTGGGCTGTTCATGTACGTGGCTCTTGTCGATATGGTGAGTATGTGAAGAGCATTAGATACTGTTTGGACTTCAAGATTAAATAGTTGCTGCCATAGATCTCAAATTTCAGTGAGACATACCTCTGTCCTGGCATTGATTTCAGCATGCCCATATTTATACAAGCAGTCGGTCTGTGGCTTGAGCTATGAAAGAAATTAAGTTGTGCATTGTGTGTGTAAAGTAACTTCTTCAAAACTGATGGACTAGAAATAATCTGGTGTACAGAGTCAAGATCCATTATCTAAACTTGTGGCCAGCTAAATGTATCCAGAAGGTACCGATAGGAAACTGAGGAACAGAGTTCTTTTTTTGTGGCTTGCCCTAGCAGTCAGCCATCATTTGTTTTAGTATAAGCCTCTGGGAAGCTTTGCTGGAATACTGAAGCCCTTTTGAAAAAGAACACAAAAGAGGACAGACCCCTTTATTATCCAGCATTGCTCTGAGCATTCTGATACCAGAATCAAAAAAGAACAATTATTTGTTGGAAAAGATAAAAATGGAAAGGAATGCAAGAAGAATAAGAGCACATCTACACTGGCTCTATTTGTGCAGGATGGTGTGGTCTAAATAGGGTTGCTTGAAGAGTGGGAAGTGACCATTTGGCACAGTCTTCATTTCCAAATGGCATACCTCCTCCCCGCTGGCAACTTCAAGGCTCCTGAGCTTGCTTGGCAGTTGTCGAAAATGGCTCTCAACCCAGTTTCTTCTTATTCTCTTAAAGAATAAGAAGCTTCAGGTTATGGTCTTGGGCCAACAGAGGAGAACTTGTCCCACATGGGACTTTAATTCCAAGCAAACAGGCTGTGGATCCAGCTCTAGCATATTTCTACTGTTAAACAGTCATCCCATGCGGTTGGTCGTTATGGCAGGCTTTCATTTTACAGTGTTTGCCCTAGAGATCAGATGAGCTTGACTTCAATAAACAGGTCCATCAGGCGTCTGGTAACCGAAGCAATGGAACTTCTTGGAGATGCTGGGGGACTTTTCTGTGCTCTGAAGGATGCGGAGATCACCCACTGCTGCTGACTTTTGCAAATGGGGAATTTAGGAGCTGATTTCTTTTGCAGCGTAAGAAATGAAAGGCTGGGGTTGCATTTAGTGCCAAGATGCAGCCTGATCCGTCCCATGTTTTTTTAATTGCATGGTCTTGGTCTAGGTATGTATGAAGTGGGTGGCAGCCAAAGTTAGTTTAGCAGTCTGTGGGAAAGGCTTGATTTTTGTCCATTATCACACACACTGGGAACAGACTAGAGTGCACCAATCTGCACTAAAAAAAAGAGTAGGGGGCCCTGAGAGGGGGTCAAAAAGAGTATGGGTTGGGGTGCACTGGGGGCAAATTGGTCTGCTTGTGTGGTCGCTGGAAGAAAGAGCGAACCAATGTGCCAGACAGCAGGACAAATGCCAGTATTGATGTGCCCTGAAATAGTTTGCTTGAGCTCTTAAAAGCTGGTGCTTATAATGTCATATTTGCATTATGGAATTACAGGGCTGGAATTCTTGAGTAGTAACCATTCCTGTTGGGGGTGAGGATGCACATATCAAGTCCCATTGTAACATTGCAAAGTGCTATCTGCTAACTTGAACCCTTACAGAAAAAGCATATATTTGCATTTTTAGTGTTTTAGCTTTACTGTTATGTGAATGAATGTATTTTGTTTTTAACTCTAGGTGCCTGAAATGCTCCACAATGATGCTAGTGATCATGGATGTAGCCGCTGGGGATATTTCCTGTTACAGAATGCTGGAATTCTGTTAGGTTTTGGCATCATGCTACTTATCTCCGTGTTTGAACATAAAATTGTGTTTAGCATAAACTTATAGGGATGGACCTAGATGAAAACCTGCAGAGTTCTGTTTAAGTGGAAGAAGACTATTTGTGCCTTTTCCTCTTTCCCCTGCAGCCCTTTATGGCCTTCAAAATCTGCTCCAAAGGGTGGATGACCTTCCAGAAAAGCATAAATAGTATGGGTGGCCGAGGGGCTGCATGGAGAAGAGAAGTGGCGTAAATTGCTGCCTTAGTTTCCTCTAGTAGGAATCCTCCAGGAGCCACTTCCATGAACAGAAGAAGCCTTTTCATTCATGAGAATGATGCTCTGGATCCAACTCATAATGCTTTCTTCACTTTCCTGATGTTGGCATTGTATTGGTACTGTAACAATAGGCACTTCTTTTCCCTGCTTTCCTCATTTAATTGCCTACTGACTAGAAATGTAGATTTGGCTCTTTTTTTAATGTGAACTTCTTGTATACATGGCAGAGTACTGTATATAGCACTGTCAGAAAAACTGGCCTATTAAATGCCACACTTTACCAAGCACAGTGGAAGTTATAACACTAAGGGAAGTAGATTTTAATTTGCAAATTGTGTTTTAAAGTTATTTAATGTCACAAATGTATCTATAGCATGCGTTGTCAAGTTCTGTCTTGTATACCGTCAGCTGGTACAAATGTGAACTAATCTTGCTTTTACTATTCTAGATGTAGAAATACCTAACATTGTCACTTTCATTCTCACTGTTCTCTAAAAGAAAAGCATAGTGCTCTGAACATCTGTAATCACTTGTGGCTGCAATCCAATTTTTTCAGTGAAGATACTTAATATTGAGATTATCATTTTTTGAAAAAGCTTCTTGATCAATCCTTTATTAAAGGTTTACCAAAAAGTTCAATATAATAAAGTAAAAACTCCCATTGGCTACAAAATCAACAGTGAACAAGCACTGGTGATTCTTTGTTGTAATTTGATAATGTTTTCAATAAGCTGCACAATGGATTGAGATGGAAGTGTTGGCAGAAATATAAAGCCAGTGGGGAAAAAAGCTGATTTCTAGAGGTGCTAATACAATACTGAGAGAGGTGTAAGAAACTTATGGCACCGGTAGCAGCACAAGGAGTAGGAATTGCCTGTGGGAATTCTTGCTGTGTATTTTGTCTTACAGTTCAGTCTAAATTTAGTGCTACGTATGAGTTTTTAGCAGCCAACCAGTAGAGGCTGAATTGTTGAATCAGAACAACTTTTTCACACCCCACCTATGCTAAACATAGAAACAGTGTGGAAAGAACATCCTTCACTTCCTAAGGAACTAAATTATTGCATGCTTGGTAAGCTGCATATTACAGAACTGCCAAACTTCTAAAGCAAGGGAGAAGAGACATTTCAGTTTCATAAAGAAGAGGTGAAACACCAGCCTAATTCTATGGTACTGACTTCTCTGAGTATCTAGTATAAATTCCAAATTTTTGCTTCAAATTTGTCTTGTTACAAGGTTTTCTGCACAGAAAAAAAATGTTGCTAGGACTAGCCCCATTTGATAGCTCTGCCAGTCCATCTACATTGTATGTTGATTTTCTCAAAATGTCAGTGTTCAAACACTATAAATTTTACTGCAGTTGTGGAACAGAGCTGTTGAAGAACAGAGACATTTCTGTCACACAGTATTGTTTCCTGCCCGCTTTAAGGGTAGAACAATTAGCCTGACAGCTGCAAAACCCACTACAAGAGAAATAATAATTCCAGTTCTATATCCATCACTGATACTATGATGGCTCCAGTATGTTTTATTTTGGAGGGTGGGCGAGCATGTAGGTTAGAGCTATTGGGCAGTGGGTGCCATGACAGTATCTGGCTAGACCTGCCTTCATGCTAGTCCTAAATAATCTGACCTCTGAAAAGCCTTTGTTGGGCAAAAGACATTTTTGCTATTCTTATTGCACAAATAAGATTGGAAATATACGTTTGGAGTAAAAAAATCTACCAAATTCAAATATGTCGGCCTAGATCCAATTGGCTCTCTCAACTAGAGTAAACCTACTGAATCAGCTGCAGAATGATGGGCCAACACTTAACCAACTAATTTATTTAGTAAGTCTAACTTAAGAGTAGCAGCTGGATGTAGGCCAGGGTTTCCAGGTTCAAGTCCAATGCCATCTATTGTACTAAACTGGATACCATCTGCAAATATCAGAGGATCAAAGTCTTTCTGAATATCTGTAGATATAAGGTTTACACTTATTTTATAAGGTGAATGCTTGTTAAAATCTGAGAAAAGAGGTAGTGTTCTAACTATAATAGGAAGTCTTATAGAAGAATTCTGTCTGTAATTGAAATGAAATACAGTGACTCGTTTTGGAATTAAATGTGCATTCTGTGCTTTGCCTGATGTGGTTTATCTCCTTAAGTATACCCTTCTCCCTTCAACAATGCAGGGATCCTCGAGGGGTGCCATATGCCCCCCATGTAGTTCAAAGTCCATGTATAACTCTTATGCCCCTAAAAATGTAACTACAAAACATAAACAGTTGATACACATACAAACACACACACACACAGAGAGAGAGAGAACAGTTCTCTCTGTTGGGATTCTCTTCCATAGTGTTGACAGTCATACAATTCTGTATATAATGAGCCTTACAGGTCCTTATCACCTCCTGATCTAGAGGTTGAATTGTAGATGTTGTGTTGGAGGGCAAGTAGACCACTTTGACACTTCAGTGTTGAACTCAAGGGGTTCTGAGTGGCCAAGGGCACTGTATTTATTGAATATTTATTTATTGGGGAGAAAGCTGTGAATAACTAAAATAGTTATTCACAGATCCATGTAATTCAAGGAAGAAGTGTACTTCTGAAACAGGTTTGATAAGAAACAGTCTTATTTTTGTTTTAGTGATGATAATGATATATCTTGGACATTTTAAAAAATCTGTTATTATGTATTTATTTGTAATATATACCCAGTATGGTGAGGTGGATAAAGTGATGGAATAGAATTCACGAATCCTGGATTTGAATCCTCGCTCAGCCATGGAAATTCACTGGTAGGAGTTGGAACTGGTAAAACCACTCCTTAAAATGCCTCACTTACCTTGAAAGTTCTGTTAGAGTCACTATTAGTTTCAAATTGACAGCACATCATACACACATATGTTCAGCCATTAAAAAACAGAATCAAACAGAACAGGTACTATTTACAAACAAAAAACCCTGAAAAATACTACATACAGAAACAGATTTGTATCCTTATTACAACTATGCAGTATTTCTAGTTTGATTAGTGGAATGGTTTACCAATTGCTTTCTTGTTGAACATGCCACTACACAAAATTTTGCTGCCTTGGCTATAGTTTTCTTTGAGGAGTCAAGAGGAAGACAGAACTTACCAGTTGTGCCTGGAATTTTTTTTTAAATAGAGAAATATATAAACTCAATGAGTCCTTGTGAAATAAACAGTATAGTAAAATATGTTCTACAGTCTCAACTGTCATTGATTGGTAGGCGCATTGATTGGTAGCTCTGTAGCAGACAAAAAAGCTCTACAGAAAACCATTAAAATTGCCCAGAATATTATTAGGCTCCAGCTGCCAACCCTGGATGACATCTTCACATCCCGCTGTCTGAGGAAGTCACACAGCATCCTGAGAGACTCTTCCCATCCTGCTTATAACTTTTTTGAACTGTTGCCGTCTGGCAGAAGATATAAAACAATTAAGACTCGGACTACACGTTTTCTGAATAGTTTTTATCCCAGAGCTATAATTGCACTTAATAATGAGCTTAAAGACCACCAGTAGTGAATAGTTAGTTGGACTGTGTTACTTGGCCTGCGGTGTAGATGTTTGTATTTTTAGTGGGGGACTTTTAATGGGTGGGGAGTGTTGGGGGATTTTTTTTTTAGTGGGTGGGAGTGTTTGGGGAATTTTATGTGTGTGCATGTGTCTGGTCTCTGGATGTCTGTGAATTTCATTGTTTGGGTATACAGTACTGTGTATATACTTACAATGACAATAAATAAATAAAATAAATTAAAAATAAAATAAAAAAAACAAAGGTGTTGTGAATACAGTGTATAACAAATAGATAGCATTGATGGTACCACATTGAAACAGGCCAGAATGAAAGCTCTATGGTATTAATAAATTAAAATCCATAGAGGTAAACTGCCAGGACAAAGATTTTGCTACAGTTCACAGCCACCAAATACTGTAGGACTCAAACCCCATCCACCTGGAGAGCTATGTTTCAAATCCATTGTTCAGTGGGGTCTTTGGTTTTTAAGAACCCAAGCTGCAGCAATGCTGGCTGGTGGAGTAAATGGGTAAACTTGCAGGTTACTACTTTCTCCTCAAGGGCTCTCGTCAGCCTGAAGGATGGTTAATTATTAAAATCAAGAGAGCTAGTCCAAAAGGATTAAAGTTTAACTTAAGATAGAAACTAATTATTTGGAATCAAGCACATGCTTCAAGAGCAGCCATCCTTGATTCTATTCTGAGTAGGGCACTGAAGATGCAATGTGAGACACTAAAATAGTTTATAGGAGTTTGAACTGTGCAGCTTCAGGGAGGTGGAAATCTTGTATATGCATAGCTGTACTACATAATTTGGGCTACTGCCTTGCCTGAAACACTTTTGATGTGAACTCCCTTTTGAAAACAAAAATCTCAAAATAACATTAACAGTTCTTGGGAATTTTCAGCAATGTGGGTAATCTGAGCTTTTCATTATCCAGTTGTTTGGAAAACTGCACTCGAGATACTCGTAAATGTTAACTTGTTCGTTGTCATGCCCATTTATCTGCCTCTTATATTTAGTAAGCACAAGATTTTTAGTCGTTTGGTAGTTTGTTTTAAGCTTCTCTGAGCAGTCTGCTGTAAAATTTTGGATGGGTTCTCCTAAATCCTCTTTGTGAGAAAGAGAGGATAACTTCATCATAAGCATTTAGTAAATCAGGGATTGGTCTATTTGGCAAGTTTGGTGGCATGGAAATCAGGATTAAATAAAGGTTACACCGTGGAATTTATGTGGAATAACAAGTGGTCCAGTACACATCCCTGTCTCACACCCATCTTGTCTGGTACCCAAAGGATTGATGGCCCTGAGGATAGCAGCTAACTTAAGTTACTGTATTTTCATATAATAGATGACATATATTGTCATATAATAGGAATGAGGAGTAATAATCCAAGGTTTGGCTTCACATCTGATCCATAGCCTATCATGGGAGGTGTTACTGAATGCTAATTTGAAATCTACAGAAGCAGCATAGAGTATTTCCTGATATCTGGAGCTGTACTTCTCTACCAAATATAGGATCACGCACTGATCAATGGGTAAACAACAAGGCCTGAAACCAACTTGCTGCTCCACTATGACATTTTCCTGATCTAACCCATCCCAAACGTCTAGCATAAGGTCTTTAATCAGAGAGAGTAAGTTGACTGGTCAATAATTAGAAGGGTTAGACGTTATCTCCTTGTGTATTGGTAAAATGACTTCCATACCTTGATCCCTAGGGATATGGATTGGCTGGTTACTCAGTGGAAAGAGTGCTGCAAATATTGTGGACCACTTGTCAATTGTAGCTTTAATCATTACTGGTGGGGTCATATGATCCCAGAACCTTTCTTGGTTTTAGATGGGTTTTCAGCATTTTGAATTCTGATGCTGTAACTGGCAGCCAGGGAGGAATATATTGATGGGTGTCATTAGCTGGTCTTTTGTGTGCAGTGATCACAGGTTCTTGTGGCTGGGTAGAGTTCGTTGACCTTTTGCAGGCTGTATTTTTCAGTGCTGGGAGCCAGGCTTTGATGAGTTTTAGACTTTCTTCTTTTTTTGTTGAAGCTCTGCTGGTTTTGTGGATCTCCCCCTTAGGCCGGCCACAGAGACTGGTGAAATGTTAGGAAGAAAAACCTTAGGAACATGGCCAAACAGCCCGGGAAACCCACAACAGCTAATATATTCTAACTTAATGTGTTTAGGGACAGACTGGTCTGACTCAGTTCCATACAGTGCTTGGAAATGAGAGTCCCAGGAGTCAGCAAGGATGCAGCACATCTTCCTTAAAGCTTCCATTTGGAGACTGCTTGCTATAATGTGCCAGAAGAGTGGAAAATCATTTGTTCTGGCAGCCTGGGTTTCTCCCTTTCCGATTACTATTTTGCATTTATGTTCCTAAAGTTGCAATGCAAGGGGCATAGATTGCTCTAACAGTATTCCTTCTCTGTTTAGATTGGGACATTACCTGTTTCTTTGCTGTTGCGCCTTTATGATCAAACTATGATTTTGACTTTCCTCTTGCTCAGGAAGGGCTTGTGCAAGAATCCCTTGATAACATCTCTTGCCATGCAATTGTTAGCTGCAAATAAACTTGAATATATATTCAGATGGTTGATAATTAAAAACTTTTCTACAATGCTGGGACACTTGGGTTGAATTAAGAAAGTCCAAGCTCTGTTTTCTTGGACCATCTTTTTCAGCCAAGGGCATGGCTGAGGTCTATATCAAGACCTCTGCTGTGCTTGATTGCTAGATGATAGACTTCTAGTTTTAAGAAAATTGGCAAGTAGCCACTGTCTTGATGCATACAAACTTTTAGATAAACTGCTACATCCAGTGTTTTATGTGAAGCTTCAACACAGTCAATAGTGCTGGCTCTGCTTACCAGTATGTGAGTGTCCCAGTTATTATCATCTTTGACTTCTCCACTAAAGACAAAGAGATTGGATTTGTTTGCACAGTAAATTAGCCCTAATCCCTTCCAATTATGATTTAGGTCTTTAGATTGCCTTGGTAATAATAGAATTTTCAGCTCTGTATGCATAATAGAAAGCAAATACCGTATTGAATCTAAGAGGTCAGTTCTAGCATTTAAATCATCTGCTGCCACCACAGAGGCATTTGAAAATATCAGGGATGTGCTTGCTATTTGCAATACTGTATTTTAGACCAATTTTCACATACTTGATTTTGTGCCTTGGAGAGAAAGATACTTATTATCAGAAAACTGGAGGTTAAAATTAACAGTGCAGGCTAGAGTTTGGATGTGATTTGGTGATTGCTGCCTCAAATTTCATAGATACTAGAATAATCACACCCCTTTGATCTGCCATCTTTCCCTCCAACTGACCTCCATTTATAGTATCAGAAGTCAAGTCCAACTCAAGAAGGCTGCATAAACAGAACTCTGTGTAATTGTGTTATTTTAGCAATTTCCTTTTAAAAGGCTGATGTTTTGGTAACAGAGACTGGAAAAACTGTAAGCTTGATAGAAAACTATCCTGAAGAATGGAATACTCTGCTTTTATTATTTGGAATTATAGAATGAACAGTTTTGCCAGAAAATGTCATTATTTCAAAGCAGAAAAGAAATCCTTGCCTTTTTCGGTA